CTTGACCAATGCATCTTGTTAATTTGTCTTGAATTGTGCAACAAATGGAACACATACATACACCGTTACATATTTTAGCCAAAAAGGTACCACTCATCTGAATCACCTACCTCTATTCATCAAATCTGTCACTAAATGACAATTATTTCCAAATCTATCCTCATAGAAAAAAGGAACTGCTAATATCAAGTATATTCAAAAACAAATTTACAGCCGCTAGGGGCAAATTTATAAAGAATTCTTAAAATATTTTGGGGGAGAAAATGTATTGCCTTCCCAGCTTCCTGCTTTGGAAATAACAACTCTCTTTAAGATTACAAATATGGATACATTCCTTGATTGACAATACCTTAATACCTAACTGATGCGTAGACACATATGCACACATACATAGGCGTGCCTTCCAGAATTTCTTACAGAGACACAAAAAGTACAAATTAAGAAGAAGACAGATATACTTAACCACATTAAAATTAATAACTTCTGTTCATCAGGAGATATCGCAAAGGAGTCAAAATGCAAACTATAAATGGGAGAAGGTATTTGAAATACATACAATTCACAAGGATTAAGCTCCAAAATATGTAAAGTCCACCAACCAAACAACATAAAAATGGGTTGAAGAATACCCATAGACCCTTCACAGAAGAAACACAAACAGCACACAAACGTAGAAAGATGCTCAAAATCAATAGTAATCAGAACCCACATAACTGGAAAATGCAGGTCCGGCAGAAGTAAGGCCCACTTGAGTGTTGTTGGTAGGGTAATAATATTGGTGTAATAATTTATAGTTTTAATCTGAACATTTCACCTAAAATGTCATATGGTGTGCTTGAGTGTGATATCCTTATGTTACAGAATTGCATACCTATGATTTTGTAATAAAAGTCTGTTGTAATAAAAAGGGAACATTTTTGTGCCAGACCCTGTATAATCAATAGTAGAAAGGATAAATAAATTAGGATTTATACAGAAAATACTATTGACCAGCAAAAATTAAGTAGCAGAAAAATGCATGCAGTCTTAATTTGTTTTATAAAACACAAAGCACAAAAACTTTTAAAAGTAAACATGCACATTCCATAGAGGGGTAGGTTCTGAAGAGGAACTCTTTGGAAGACTGGCTTCTCATAAACTAACTTGAAGGACACACATTCACAGACCCACAGGCAGAATCTTGGAGCCTGGAGATGGATGGAAGATACCTTGCATGTCGGCCACAGGAATCCCTCCTCCACCTACACAAAGTTTCTCCATGCAGATGCTCTGCATTCACTGCTAGAATGCCTCCTGAGACAGGGCTCTTGCCATCACATCAGACTACACATTTCACTTTTGTAACATATTAATTAGAGAAACATTAATTCAAAAGACTTCTTCCCTATAAACTTGCATTTCTTCTTTGGTCCTCTAGATTCATGAGGAAAAATTGCCTTTTCATGTGACAATCTTTCAGCATTAAAAACAGGCTTTCCTCCTAAAACTTTCATCTATACATGAAAAAATGTCAATTTTTAAAATATATGTGTCACACCTCCTAGACTGGCTCAAGTATACTAAAGTTTTTGAAGGATAGTACCCCAAAATAAACATGATACCCCACATGCCCTTTAAATCTCAGTTCCCTGTCTTTGCCATTAACTCCATAACTGAAATATATTTTAATATTCACATTGAATACTTCCAGAGTTTCTTTGCTCATGACAATTTGTGATAAACAAATGTCTGTTTTGTTTTTGTATGAACAGTATATAAGCTTGCTCTTTAACATTAACATTATAAGCTTGGTCCTGCAAAGGACCTGAAAAAATAAGTTTAAATTCATTGGTATTTCAGTTATTCTAAAAATAGCTCTTCAATTAACACAAAAAACTTAATGTCAAAAGGCAACACCTGATTTGTGTGAATATAAGAGTCTGTTTCTCATGTTAAATTTGCTGAGAGAGCTAATTTATATGAAAATGCATTCCAGCTCTTCATACTCACAGGTAGTGTTTTGAATGCCAACTGACATGGTGAGTTGAGGTTCGTCATTAATGTTCAACTTTATATAAAATCCCTCTTTGAACGTCAGCTTTCAGTACATGATTTAATTATATAAAGACAGTAAAAATGTTTCAGGGGACAGGAAGAATGCAAGTTCCAGTATGAATTTGTACAAGTTTACTATCAATAGTGTCTAGCATGATCCATATCCAGGTTGAAGAATCAAAAGTGGCAGACAACAGCATAGCAGGCACACCTGATATCAACCAACTCGCTGGAAAAAGCAGCAGATTTCAATTTTTCAGAAGGCAAAAGTGAAATCTCAATGCGGTAACAACAGAAATGTAAGTTGGTCCCTGAGAGTTGATGTAAATAATCACAGATCACTTTGCATGCAAAAGTCCTATCAAAATAATCATTGTGTGATGAGCTGAAAGAATTGTTTCTTCTTTAAAAAATTGTTTTAAACCTGTGAGAAAAACACAATCAATGCTATTGATTGTAGACAGAAGAAATTGGGCCTTCAAGGTGCATAGCAGAGTTTAGTCCAGAGGTGGACCAAGATTACACCAAATCACAACCATTTTTCAATAAGAAGAAAGGAATTTATAATAAGAGGAGAGGATTAGATGGGAGAAGATCTATAGAAAGGTCATTAAGCAGTTTAATGTCTAAAGGATGCAGGAAAGCCTTGAAGGTATTTATAGGAAATGTCTATTTTCTTTTTGAACTATTGCAATTCCAGTTTTATTGTTTTCTTGCTAATTATCAAACCATTTTTTTAATCTTATGGATTAATGCTGTGCATCTTATAGGAGCTCCCAAAACTGGGCTCTCCATACAAATATGTACAGCAGTACTTATAATCTGTATACTTTGAAAGTTAACATTAAATATGGGGCCCAATGGCCAAGATTTTTACCACAATGTACTATGTGTATGATCTTGGCTAAGTTACTTAACTTATCCACACATCAGTTTTTCATCTATTAACATGAAAATAATAAAATACTTACCTCTTAAGGTTGTTATGAAGATTAAGATTTTAATCCTCATAAAGTGATTAATCTGTACCTGGCATATATAATTCAATAACAGCCTTTATCATTAAAAAAATCTCATGAAAAAATTGATAATTTTATTTAAAAGTTTAACCTAAAAGAGTAGATGGTCAAAGACTCTTACCATTTTTAGAAAACAAGATGTAATCTATTTGTTTCTACCATGAAAGATCACAGAAAACACCTAAAATCAGTATCTCTGAGCAAATCTACTAAATTAATAAATACAAATTACACACTTTTCAAAATGAAAATATTAGAGTAACTTCTCAAAGGTGTTTTATTCATATCACCAATTCTGAATCACCAGATCAGAATTTGTTTTATTTTGGAAAACTGCAAAGTGAAGTTTATGATTTAAAAAAATATAAGGCAAGAGTATAAGCACATTAATAAATGTTACATCATAATTAAGGCCAGTGTCTATTTGTTTAAGAAAATAATTTCTGCACAAGAATTCTGTAAGTTATTTATATATTTGGAAGCATAATTAAAATGTAAACAGAGCCTTAACAACTTATCTACTTATACCATTGCCTTAAAAACCAATACCAAATAATTCTGGTTACAACTTGAAACTGAAACTTCTATTAGCCAGCAATTAAGTACCTGAAAGTCACATAGCTCATTTTGCTTGAAAATACATGATAATATATTTACACTACCTCCAGATGATTTTCCCCATTCATCCTAATTAGTGAAGTCTTACCATATGACTATTCTCTTTTGTTAAAATGATGAGAAACTTTGGCATTTAGGTATGCAATAATATTTGGGACAATGCCCAGGCTAAATTAAAAATCACTTAAGGCACATGTTAAACAAGCATTTTATGAAAAACACTTCCTTTAACTGAAGAGATACAGGAAAAATTGGACTAGTTTTACATGTGAACTCCTTAGGTATTTTTCTGAATGTCTTGATAATAAGCAAATGTGTGAAAGATCCTTTATATTCTATTCATTCATAGTTGCTATGGTATGCCCTTTATAAATATTAATGTTCACAAATGAAGAAGAATTCACCTATAATAAGAACATTGCTATCTAAATTTTGAGAAGATCGAATGTGTTGATTAAAAAACTAATTAAACAATGAAACATTTCCTTAATTAAAACTTATAAAAATTTAAATGACAGGGTTTTTGTTTTTTAAAAAATTATCTTGACATAAAGCTATTAGGACAAGATCAGCCAAAGTTACATTGAACTAGTTAGAATTATAACTTAGGGTCAGATTGGCAGCAAATTATAAGATTACGGTCATTGTAGTGCCTTTTACTGAAAGACAATCAACAGTCATTATTTCAGGTTTCTTTCTTCCCACAAAAAGAAAACATGTCATTATAAATTTCAAGTTAGAAGTACATATTATGAAAATCTACCTAAACATAAAATATATTTACATAGCATGTGTTTCAGTTTTTTTCAAAGCAGCTTCTTAGTTTGAGATTTATGAAAACAAGTTATCATTCTTATTAATTAGGCAGCTAAAATGCCATCCAACCTTTATAGTTTGCCTCTATCATACATATATAAAACACTGAAAACACTGCATCCTCTTTTTATGGAAGCAAATTAGCAGAAAATCTAATTATATACTGAAAGTTAAAGGTAGAGCTAAAGACAGTTTGTTATCTGACCAAACATATTTCGCATAGGCTTAAGCTTCCACTGAAGCCTTGTGAGCTTGCTCAAAGATCTGCATTTCTTTCTTTCCCATTATCATATTTTCCTGTTGTCTGAAAAACAATATGAGATTCTCATATTAATATTCTAAACACAAACACTTCATACAAATTGTATCTAAGTGGTAGTGTTCCACCTCTTTTCAAACCGTTTCTTCACAAAAAAAAGGGAAAAATGCAATTGCCTCATGTCATCTGTATGGAGGCTGGTAAGATGAAAAGGAAACATTTAATTGCCAAAGGAGCCAGGTTAGAAACCATACCTTCCATGACATACACCAGTGACCCCACATCTCCTTCTTTGATGATGCAACTGTCTTTGCCATACTCCACCGGGTACATGCAATCCACAATCTCCTGGATCTGCGACAGCTCCAAATTCTTCATAAAGTCATTGTCAAGGATGGCTTCCTTGATGAGATCCTTGGACCTAGAGCAAGAAAGGGAAGGTTTATTGGTCCATCTCACAAGTGCTTTCAAGGCTTCTGACGGCCGGCCGAGCCATGGAGTGCAGTGCCCCAGCACGCTACAAATACATTTTCTTGTAAGGAACCCAATTCCAAAGGACCTGAGAACAAAGTAATTCCATGGCTGCAGGAAAGACACGGAGAAATTTTCCTTAAAGTGTCATTTAATGAGTATGAGACTAAAGAGCAAAATCATTTAATTCCATTTTGCTGTAGAATGGTTTTTTTTAGCAACCATGATCATGAAATAACCAACAGACAAACATTTTAAATTGAAGATTGCAACGTAGTTTAAGAATAAATATGAATAAAATACAACATTTTATAGAACACTATTATTATTGCATTTATATATTATAAAAGAACATCAGGATATGTTATATCTCTTCCACTAGACTTTATGCTCCATGAAGGGAGGAATCATTTTTCTTTGTTTATTCTATGCCCAGTATCTATCTACCCCAATACAGGTTACAGTATGGGTATTCAAGAAAAAATGGTAAGAATTGGATTCCTAATTATGTGTTTGAAACAACTGGTAGAAATTTGACAGTTTTATTCCATATCTCATCCCTCTGTAGAGAATATTTATTTCTTCAAGCAACCAATATTGAAGTACCCCAAAAGATAAAACTTTACTGAACAAGATGCTTCAAACACAACATACATTAGACATGGGATTAAATAGGTAGTCAGGGGAAAAATATTTACAAATTCTATAATTGGGATTCAGTGTTTAACAGAAAAGTTTTGTAGAATTTAAAAGATGGTGATTCACAGGGATAATAAGCTCCAAATGACTTCCTAAGGACACAAAAAAACAGGAGACACGTAATCAGAATACTGCCAGTGGGGTCAGAAACTAGAAAAGATGAAAGCGAAGACCTTAGTAACATGGAGGGGAAACAACACATCTGGGATTTTATATTACAAGTCTATACTTGAAAAGCATTGGACTATAAGCTGGTTTTTGGCCACATTTGTTTAGCAAGTGGCTTTCGAGGAAATGATATAAGGTAGTGAATACCGACTACAGCATTTGTCCTGCCATTTCTGGGTGGCTTTTCATCAAGACCTCAGCCTGCCTGGACTAGCCTTCACACACATTTTATAATGATTTGATTTTAAGAAATTAAGAGGTAAGGGCGGTAGTAAAGTGTAAAGGGGGCCACATATATGGCGACAAAAATTATTTGACTTTGGGTGGTGGGAACACAATGCAATATATAGATCATGTATCATAGACATCGACACTTGAAACCTGTATGACCCTATTAACCAGTGTCCTGCCAATAAATTTAATAAAAACTCAAAAATGAAAATAATTAAAAATGCATCAATATGGAAAATATTTGTAGTATGGACTGTTATAATGCAAATAAATCTATGTTTATAAAGGCTGGTAATAGTATTGGGAGATTCTTGTACTATTTTTAAAGTAAAAATGCAGAACACATAATTATTTTTAGAATAAGAAAGTAGGTATGTCATGATATAAAGAAAATAATATTTGAAGTAATTGCATGTATCCAGGACCTAATCTGAGCCTTGCCACGTATTAAACTTTGAGCAGGTTGCCTTCCTTCTCTGAATTTCCATTTCATCATTTTTAAAACGGCATTACACAAATTACCAAGCTAACAGAATTATACGTGAGGACCAGTGAAAATATAGTTACTTCCAGTAAATGTTGGGTGATAAAGCTGATAGTGGTACTATTGCAGCAGCAGTAGTAATAGGAAGGGTAGGAATGGAATATACAGTTATGGCTTGGAACAGTTTCAGGAGAAAAATAAGACATTGGCATTTAGTTTCAGTTGCCTTTGGTGACAGAATTATACTATTTTTCTTTCTACTTTTCTCTATAAAATTTTCTAGAAGGAGGATGATTTTTATATTGAAAAAATTTTTAATTTTAAAGGTAGTTTATGAAAAAATAATCATGCTATTAAGAAAAATAAAAAGCTATTGCTCATTTAAATAATTACTTAGATATAGATATTTAATACTAGTTGACTGTTATTGGTATATTCAATATTCTTATTTTAAAATAGATTCTCTCTCATATGGCCTGCATTTAAATACTGTCGGGAATTTTTACCCTAATAAAGAGAAAGTGACAGATGGGCCAGTGATTAAGGACTTCAGAATGGGCTCTATTTAAAAAGCCTGTTTGTAAAATCTTTGTATTAGTTTACTATGGCTATTTAGCTGTATGTTTGGTTGTTGTGTTTTTTTTTTTAATCTGGATTGCCAAAACTTTATTTCTCCTGAGGTAAGGAGTTGATTTTCTTGAGTCTTCAACACAAGATGTAAAACTCTGTCCCCATCTATGATTTTCATGACTTCTCCTTTCCTTTCCTCCATCTTTCCTTTATTTAAATTTTTAATTAAATTTATTAGGATGAAATTTGTTAATAAGATCATATAGGTTTCAAATGTACATTTCTATGATACATGACTTCTATATTGCATTGTATGCACACCACCCAAGTCAAATTGTCTTCCTTCAGCATGTATTTTTCCCCCTTTCCCCCTGCCCTCTTTCCTCTGGTAACCACCATATTGTTGTCTGTGTAGTTTTTAGCTTTCTGACTGACTTATTTTTCTTCTCATGATATTCTTGAGATCCTAATTTTCTTCACAGTTCCTAACCTCAAGAACATCAGTAATATCTTCATAGGGACTCATTAGCTCTATTGTTATAGGATAATTTTTTCCAAATATCAGAACTTATTTTATTTTCAGATAATTAATTTTAATCAAATTGATAACATTCTCTTCACTAAACTTATTATGTTTGAGTCAGAGAATTAGGCCATCAATGGGTTCATATTTTCTAATAAAATAAAGGTTAGATATTATCAATCTCAGGATCCTGGCATGTTCAGCTGCAGATAGTATCTTATCCTTTGGGAAATATTAATAGTGCTCCATTCAAAATATAAGCCCTAGAAATGTTGTAAGATTAGAAATAAATCTTTCTTCCAAGGAACACTTAATTCAGTCCAAAGATGATTGAAGAAAGCCACTTTCTCTGGTCTCATAAACAGTACTATTAACCTATTTTATGAAGACATCAAAAAGATGACACAGTGAAATCTGACACCATCCCCCAGAATTGTCCAAATTTATAAGTGCGTATCAAAATTGTAGGGGTGAACAGGGAGAAAAGAGGATTTTCAGGCGGTTTTTGCTCTCAAATTTCATTTCAAATGGGGAACATTCAGTCTCAGGTCTCTGCAAAGTCAAACTTGAGGCTTTCATATGTGCTTTTGTGTCACTTTAAAACAAAATAAGAAATACAGTACCTATGTCTCACCATTTATCCCTTCATAGAGGTGTTATCCAATAACAAGTTTGCCTCTGGAATGTCATAAATAATCTACCGCTGCCTTGACAAGATAGAAGTTTTGCTCCTCTGTGTAGTAATTGAAAGATGTTCTTGACAGTGAGTAATACTTAAAGCCATGCATTTTTGTGTAATTTTCCATTAAATCTTTTCCCATTGAAGGACTCAAAAACTTAGGTCAACGTTCATTAGTCTCTACTTGCTCCAACATTATAGATTATAATCAACCACAGCTTCTGCCTAAATCTTCTTTGAATCTTTTTTATCTTCCTAAATAGTCTAAAACATTCACTGTAACTAAGATATGAAGCTGCATATGAGATCACCTGAACTATGTTATTAATGTGGGAGCTGGGAGAGCTACTATCACAAGTTCTAGAAGGTGGCTATCTGCTCTAACCCAGAGTATATGTTTTAATAACATTTTGTAAGAAATCAGCAGTGTGACCTGGGAGGTGTGAGAAGCAAATAGAAAAATCTTGATTTTGATCTTTCTTGTCTGCTCCTGGGGCAAACAGTCCATTTAAAAAACAAAAACAAAAAACAACAAAAAAAATCCCTTTCTTTTCCATGCTCCAAATTTGTGGCTTTTGAAATAAGAGTAATTTGGGTAGTTTGTGCTAGCCCTATTGATTTGTCATCAGCAAACTGTCAGCCTCTAAAATATTAGCTATATATAATAATGTGCTGCTAAACTGACACTCTAGGGAAAAGAAAAAAAAAGCCCTGGGTTGTAGTGCTTACCAATTTCCATGGTATAAATACTCCTGCCATATCCAATTTCAAGCTACTAATGCAAAGTCAGCCTACTTAGAAAATTCCAGAGGTTGGAATGCACTTGATCTGTGCATCTGAAGCATAAAGTGAGCAAGAAGGAAAGGGACGGGAGAGGGACACAAAGGTGGGGTGGACCCAGGGCTCCTAGGACCTTGGAGGCTGTGATAGAGTTTTATTTTATTCTACAGCCTTAAGAATCAAATGAAGGGTTATAAGAAGAGGTGTGATTTATAGATAATCTATCAGACATAAAGAATAAATAATATAAATTTATTTTTAAATGTTACTGAGTTCAGGGAGGTTTTCTGTCATACATTTCATCAGTTAATGGATGCTAAAGCATAACTTATTGTAACTAAGAAATCTTTGTAGTTGAAACTCTTGGGAACTGTCTCATAAATCTTACATTTACTTGGACGCTCATCCAACTTCTACATAATAGGAGACAATGAGGTCTCATTTCCAATTTCAAGCTATCTCCAGAGGATGAAAAGTTTCTCTCCATCTTTAGATTAGTTTCCCCCTGAACACCTGCCAGGCAGTAGTAAATATCCCTCCAATAGCCATACCCAGAAATGTGAAAATTAATATCTGATCCCTTCATTTGACAAAGGCTTCTAGGCACTTAAAAATTGTCAAAGCTATGCTATTACTAATCACAAAATCAGCTAAAATAATTTAAAAGAGTAGAAAACTTCTTTATTCAGCTTTTTTGACTAAAAAACCTCATTACATCTCTCTAGCTCTCACTAGTCACTTTTAGGTTCAAAGGTCAGGAGAAGCAGTAAACAAAGTTTCAAGGTCACCTTAACCTACACAGCAGTGATTTTTCAA